CAACTTACCTGATGGACAGGAAGCGGTTGATCCGCATTCCGCTGTCGACACTTTAACTCCAGTATGCTCGCCAGACGTGTATAACACCGGGTCCTTGCCTGGGGGACTTGTGCATGGTAATTCGGTACCAACCACAAGTGACTTACACTCTGCTTCCCGGGAGACCAGGGGGCGCACGTCCGGGGATGCTGTTGAAGTGAATACCGCTATGTCGACCTTGCGTGTGCAGGGCTCAGCTGATGTCCGGACCGGCTTGGATCTGCCCGAGCCGGAGCCCATAGCTAGCTCCGACCCGTCGTTCAGGCTTGGTGATTTGTCTGCAGTGGAGACAGCTGGAGCCATAGAGGCTGCATATAACAAATGTGTTCACTTTCGCCCGAATGCTTTCTCTGTGCCGTCTGGAAATATTGGAAGACGATTTATCACTACCTTGACATCGTTCTATTCCTGCTTCGGAGATGGGGGATCGTATGAAATGATCGCACTCAAGATTGCAGCCGTCTACCAGATGCTAATGCTGCAGAAGCCGGACTGTGACAATAATAAATATGGTAAAATACTTGAGCGCCGCATGGACCAGTGGTCGAAGGGAGATTTTGCAGAGCTACAACGGGAAGCGGACACCGTATAGACCTCTCTTCTATTGTCCAAGAACAAACATAAACGTGATTCAGTGGGTCCGTTGGTTGACCCTGCTAGGCGTTTTGCAGATTATGTCACCGCGGGCAAAGTGGGCAAGGCGCTCCGTGGCTTGACAAGCGGTGATGATGAAGGCGTGCATTGGTTGGGCGACGAGATTGACGGACGCATTGTCCGGGATATCCTGAAAGACAAACATCCACCCGCAGAGCCGATGAGCGAGGACGCCGTTATTGGTGGTGATCCACCTGCTCCACCTCATCCGATCTATTTCAGCAGCCTTGGACGTCATTCGATTAAGAGTGCAGCGCTTCGTACGCAGGGTGCTGCGGGGCCGAGTGGTGTTGACGCCGAGAACTGGGGGCATTTTTGCGCTAGTTTCTCTGACGCCTCCCAGGGCCTTTGCGATGCACAAGCATCGTGTGCAAGGCATTTGGCCTCCACGTACGTGCACCCAGCATCTTTGTCGGCTTTCACTGCGTGCAGATTGATAGCGTTGGACAAGCAACCCGGTGTCCGGCCGATTGGAATAGGTGAGGTCGCGCGACGCATTAAAAGCAAGGCCATCCTCTCCGTCGTAGGCCAAGCCGTTCAGGAGGCGGTTGGGTGTATACAGCTATGCGCTGGCCAAGATTGCGGCATAGAGGCGGGAATACATGCGATGCAGCAGGCCTTTGAGATGGATGACACTGAAGGAATTCTGATGGCGGATGCAAGTAATGCGTTCAACAGACTAAATCGACAGACTTGCTTAAGAAATGTTCGGCACTTGTGTCCATCACTTGCTACCGTTCTGATTAATACTTACCGTGATCCAGCTCATCTCTACGTGGACGGTGAAAGTATCCTGTCGCAAGAAGGGACAACACAGGGGGATCCCCTTGCAATGTACATGTACGCGTTGGGAATAATGCCCATGAAACGTTTGGCGGATGAGGCGGGTGCGGTGCAGTCATGGTTCGCGGACGATTCATCCGCTGCTGCTCGTCTTCGCAGACTCCGTCTATGGTGGGACATAATGGACAAGAGAGGACCGGCATATGGATGTTACGTAAACCCAAAGAAATCGGTCCTTGTAGTCAAGGAAAGGTGTTACCAGGAGGCGACTGAATTGTTTCGGGACACTGGTGTAATGATAACGGACGAGGGATCACGATATCTTGGCGCAGCAATCGGAAGGGACAGATTTCTTCAAAGTTATATCAAAACAAAGGTGGACGAATGGATGGGGGAACTGAAGAAGCTAGCAGTATTTGCACAAACCCAGCCGCAGGCTGCGTATTCTGCGTATGTGACGGGCCTCCGGGGTAGATGGGCGTTCCTCTGTCGTACCATGAAGGTACCCGAACCCATGTTCCAACCGCTGGAGGACATTGTGAAGTCTGAAATGATTCCCGCCTTAACTTGCGGTGCACCCCCAGGCGACACCCTCCGGCGGCTTATGGCTTTGCCGTGTCGTCTGGGTGGGCTCGGTTTGATTAACCCTGTGTCCCTATGCCAACAATTAATCGTCGGTTCGGATGACCAACCCTTTGTCTCGGAGAATCTTGTCGGGGGTTGGCTCCATCGGCGACCCCGTGGTATTAATCAGATCAGCCAAGAGAGACGCCAAGGCATCTTCTCGACGCCATCAGAAACTGGAATTCGAGGCGATATCGGGCAGTGCGTCGGAGTCGCTACGACATGTCATAGACGTCGCGAAGGAGAAAGGGTCGTCGAGCTGGCTGACGTGTCGTCCACTTAAGAAGTATCATTTTAATTTATCGAATGGAGAGTTTTGGGACGGGCTCTGCCTCCGTTACGGATGGACACCGGCCAGGGTACCGTCACACTGCTCTTGCGGCCAAGAGGCAACTGTCGCGCATTCCCTGTCGTGCCCCTATGGAGGGTTTCCCTCCATTAGACACAATGGTATTCGGGACGTCACGGCCCGGCTGCTGGACGAGGTGTGCACCAGTGTGTCCATCGAGCCCTTGCTGCAACCGCTGACGGGGGAGCGTCTTCGCTACCGGACCGCAAATGTGGAAGACCGTGCCCGGTTGGATGTCGCTGCCAATGGTTTGTGGGGCAGTCGTTTTGAGCGTACACTTATTGATATACGGGTTTTTAATCCTCACTCACGCTCAAATCGATCTGCACCGCATACTATTGTGTATCAGCGACATGAAAAAGAAAAGAGATGGCACTATGAGGAGCGGGTGAGGCAGGTTGAGCAAGACTCCTTTGTTCCGGCGGTCATGTCAGCCAGTGGCGGAATGGGTCCAGCATCAACAGCACTGTATAAACAAATTTCTCATCTGTTGGCTGAGAAGAGGGGTGAGCATTACTCTCATGTTATGGCATTTGTTAGATGCAAGATTTCCTTCAGCCTTCTGAAATCCTGTATCATGTGCATTCGCGGTTGTAGGCGTTTAAATTTTAGTTTGAAATTTGTACCCTCCTGCGGAGCCCACGCTGCTTTGGCAGTGGCGGAGGCTCGCTTGACGAAGTAACCGTCGGAGATCATCATGAACAATGGACTGACTAATTTTTCACTTGTCCTGTCTTTCTAAATAACATGTTATTGCACATGTTCTTGGTTTAGTTTTTGTCCTTTTTCGTGCTTTGGAGTTATTTGTTGTTGACATGTATAGCCCTTGGCGGATTATACTGGCAAAAAAAAATCGTGAATCGATTCGCGTGCATAATCGAACGCACTCAGTGCATGCCAAACACATAAAAAGTGACCCGCGTGACCCATGGCGAAGAAGAGCGGGAATTTTGATTTCTGCATGAACTGCCCGTACTGGTACCGTGCAGCACTTGGCTCAATATTTCAAGAATACTATTTCTTGGTCCGCTAGTATGATCTCGGTGGAACGCCTCCACAACTGGTGTATTCCTCTGAGTGTGCTGGAGTTGTGAACCATACCGGCCGTGTATATCATTTCCTGAACATCTCCGGATAGCTGCTTTGCGCACAGATTCAGCTCATCTGCAATCCTCTTCTCGGCAACAGCTCTTTTAATCATAGTTCCATTTTCTCGCTGGTATTTTCCCCATAGTTCTATAAGCCGTAGCTGCACCTTGGGAGAAAAGACAAGTCGAGGCATGGTACCGGCCTCTCCAAAAAAGAACAAAAACTCTGCGCACTCGACACACCAAACCACTCGTTTCGCCTTGCCTGAAAACCAAAAGCCGAAATCCGCTTTCAAAGCCGCCTTCAAAGCCGCTCCGGGATGGCTTTGAACGTTGATGTGATTTTTCACTTTTCGCGCATGTTTCCATGCCCACTTCAAAGAACATGATGCTTGTAAGTTGTATCCGGTTTTGTACCGTAGCGGAGGCAAAACGCGTATCTACCGCAGCCGCTTTCGCGGAACACACGATGCAACGGTCACACATACATATAGGGCGCTTTCGATCACACGCATTTCGGTCAATTCTAGAATTAGTTATTGTTGATGCACAGTTCAATTACACAAAAAGTGACAAATTCCGTCGTTAGAATTGATTCTATCCAATTCCGTCAAATCCGTCCATTCTGAAAAGAGGGCGGAATTTCTCTAATTCTGGCGCCAGAATTGCATGCTAGGTGTGTCTAGTCATGTGTCGTATCCGGTCGGCCCGGGGTTAGACCCCAAGGCCGCGGTCATCCACATAACTAACTTACTAAAACTTCTTCTTACAAGGCCGTGCAGTGGTGGCCGCTTGGAGAGAGAGTCCACCAACAGAATTACTCTTACGCATGCACGCACATATACCTACACACACACACACACACACACACACACACACACACACTCAGGCATAATTATAAAGACACGTACACTCACACCAGCGTTCAGGTTTACTCACATCTTCAACGAAGGTAACATAGTTCAAGATATGATATGAGAGCACAAGGCAAGAGAGACGGAAGCCGAAGCTTCCGCCTGAAGGCGGAAGGCAAGAGAGAGAGAGAGAGAGAGAGAGAGAGAGAGAGAGAGAGAGAGAGAGAGAGAGAGAGAGAGAGAGAGAGAGAGAGAGAGAGAGAGAGAGAGAGAGAGAGAGAGAGAGAGAGAGAGAGAGAGAGAGAGAGAGAGAGAGAGAGAGAGAGAGAGAGAGAGAGAGAGAGAGAGAGAGAGAGAGAGAGAGAGAGAGAGAGAGAGAGAGAGAGAGAGAGAGAGAGAGAGAGAGAGAGAGAGAGAGAGAGAGAGAGAGAGAGAGAGAGAGAGAGAGAGAGAGAGAGAGAGAGAGAGAGAGAGAGAGAGAGAGAGAGGGGGAGAGAGAGAGAGAGAGAGAGAGAGAGAGAAATAGAGAGAGAGAGAGAAAGGCGATTGCCATAATATCTAACTACCTGCAGGAGGCTGATCCCCCCGTACGAACTATAGGACAAATAATGAACCATAGTACACCCGCATGCCGCAGTGTACCAAAACTTAGCAATAATGTGTATAAACTGTATCACAAAGAGCAGGAGCCAGGTAAGGAAAAACAGGGTATACCAAATAAGGAAGGCGCCAGGCTTTGTGTGAAGACATAAAATAAAAGCGATTATGAATCCGTTTACGGGATATAAATAAATAACTAGACACCTAAATAAAGGCAGACTTGTCACGTAGAGGCCTAAAAGGCATGTGTCAATAGTATGGATATGACATATCCCCGCTTACATGGAAAAGAACACGTCCTCGCGTTATAAGTAACTTTATAAATTAGACTAAAAGTATGGGTAACAATTTTAACTAAACGAGTGCAGGTCAAATTGGAGTCCCTACCAACATTGTTCCAAAACTAACTGTAATATCGAACACAACCAATCCAGTCAGTACCACTGAAGTCACTTACTCGTTCCACACAGGACTCCCAAACAGCTGGGGCGGATGGCGGGAACGCGGGGTTCGCCTTTTCATCGCGCCAACTGGCTGAGCACTGTCAAATACCCGAGCGATGTCCTCCTCGTCTCGGGCGGCGGTGGTTGTCCGTTGGCACCAATTAACCTCGGGCCTTGGTCAGAGGTTTCCTTTTCCAGCTCCTTAGGTAGGCGGTCGGCAAAATCCTCTGACAACAATGTAGCGGCGGATCCTGTATCAATCACAGCGTTTTCTGGACATCCATTCACCACTCCAGGCACCAACATGTCCGCACGCTCACTCGCATTTTCAAAGAAGACCAAACACATACGTTAGGCTATTGTTTTCTGTCGCAGTCTAAGTTTTGCAGACACTGACTTCAACCCCAGGGATCCAGTTCCCGGGAAAATCTACAAAAGCGGATGCAAACGACCTCCCGTCTTTTACAGCACAGCCTTGATGCTCTGCTCTTCGTTAATAATGACAACTCTCAGAGTAAGTACTCCGACAGACTGAGAATCCGCAGAAAAGGGCAATAGACTAGAGCCATTTCGTCGCTAAAGAGCGGTAAAAACCGTACTCTTCTGCTCTGCTCTAAATCCCCTGGGTGGTTTCTCTGACAGTTTCCCAGGACATGGTGCATACTCCTCCAGCTAATAAAGTTCCAATGGGTCCCTCGGGATCATTGGGTTTTGAACCATTATGTTGGGGGTCTCGACGCCCAGAGCTTGGAAGATAATCAATTAGGCTTCCGGTAAATTCCGGGCATGGTCATCACAGAATTAGAGCTATCCGATCTCTAAAGAGCGATAATAGCATCAGCTATATCCCAGAGGCTAATTCAGAGTTTTCTTGTAAGAATATTTCATTGAGACATACTGTAAATATACAAAATTTCGGCGCTGCAAAATTTAGGCACTTCACGATTTTTGACATTTCGGCGGCGATTTATTTTCGGCGTGGTATAGATCAGAGGGCACGGTATAGTGCGACGGATGCTGTGAAAATTTTCATCGGCGTTTTAATTTAGGTGTTTTGGGTCGGTGCCGAATACAGCCAAAATTAAATAGCTGCCGAAAATTTGTATATTTACAGTAAGTAATTTTCAGCGAAGAGACTATTTGATTTGAGAATGGTGTGTGTAGGGAACTCCATGCAGCGGAGCTTGCATACCATCAGAAATCCTCTATTTCTATCCAACTAAAAGAAACGTCTTTGCAAAAACATACATAAAGATGTACTTGATAATCATATTGAAAAGACGTTTCTATCAGTTTTATAGAAATTGATGATTAGGAAACTGAAGTAACAAGCATGATGACCTAGGTGAAAGAAAAGCATACGGAGGGCACTGGGATTTCCAGCCAACTGATTTGTAAACCAATTATTAATTATCTGGATTTCCCAGGGGCTGAATCGAGTAGTCAGGGTGTATGGTGCTAGATTTACATTTTCATATTTTTTTCATACATAACACGGGGTTTGATCCTGAACACGCACTGACACGTCAGCTACATACATAACACGGGGTTTGATCCTGAACACACACTGACAGGTCAGGTACATTTTACCGAGTAATTATTATTATTATACTGTGGTGCTAGCTTATCGTTTTTCTTCTTCTTCTACGTTTTCCCAATTGTTCGCACACATAACGTGGTTTTGGAACATGCACTCTCTCCTTGCATGCATTCCTTCCACACACTTCGCATACATACTCATCCTACCAACTTGCTTCACGTTATGATCCTTGCGTTGACAGCCCTCTTTCACTATTTGACCAGCTTCTTTACTGGTATGGTATTGTTGCACACCAGGCATGCTGCATCAGTAATTTTTTTATTTTTTTATTTCACCTTCCCGTGGCCAGAGAATATAGGCCAATATGGAAGGACGAAGGCGGTAGCCAGCCATGGTAGTAAACAAAAACGAAGCAAAAATAAATAAATATCCCTTTATGTACTGATTTCCAGCACAGAATGAAGCAGAATTTAAATTTTCTGCACAATTTACACCTTCAACAGGCTATAACTTTGACCTCCTTCACTGCATTTCCACAATCTTGGGCTCTTTAGAAAGCTCCTGGCGAGAGCAACGCCAGCATACCAGACTACGTCAACTAGCTGGCACAAATCAGGCGCGGGATTACAGCAAAGTCCACCCCAAGCCCAATATGCGAGTAAATTCCACCATCAATGCCATTCCACTCTCCTCTATTACAGAAAGCTCTTTTCGAGGTGATTCAAACCTCAGCCAACTACGTCATTATCATGTGCTCAGTTGGTCCAAGAGCACACGAATAGGGATTTTCCCCTAAAATGACAAAGAGATCGATCAAAGTATTTCAATAACCTACGAGGAGACAATAGTCGTAAAATGGCAATGAAAATAACTCAGGGTTGCCACTTACTCCGATTTTTTGGAAATCGTGCGATTTTTGAACGCCTGTCCGACAAAGCGACCGATTTTGGTCCCAAAGAGGGACAAGCGATTATTATATTTTGAGCGCTTTTTAGTCCAGTTGGCCATTAATTCATAATGTACATGGTTGTAGTGCGTGTGCTGGAAAGTTAAAAATGTGTTCTGGGGCCCAACAGCAAGCCATTTTCCTAAACATTTTCACCAAGGGGGCCCTGCACCCTGCACCCCTGCGGGGGACACCCCAGCACCCCCGTCAGATTTTTCTCCCTCCAAGTGTGGCAGCCCTGTAACTGATTGTGCACTCATGAGCCATAACCATGTACATGTGAAATTTAATTTTTCTGCTGAATGGTCACCGTTTCCGATTGGAAGAAGTCCTTTTTTTGGAATTTGACGAAATTATTCATCGACTAATTTTCTCTGCACACGGATTGAGAGTGAGTGGATATTGCAGCAGCCGAAATACCTTCGCGTTTGAATTGCCGTTGCTGCGCTTCACTACGAACAATACAATACCATGCGGACAAATGTGAGCACACGACACGGAGTACTGTACATCAGCAGAAGCCTTTCCCAATAAATCGTTACGGGTTAGGGCTGCTGTGCTACTAGAACTCAGCGCACACCTTCAGTGAAATGTTGGGGAATTAATGGGAGAATCTTACCTGACTTCAAGCCAGTGAGAAGCACCTGCTCCCGATAACGGCCGGGTGGTTCCTGTCCGGCGTCCGCTATTCTGGTAACGTTGACCCGGACGATTGGTAGTCCCACAAATCTAAACGCCACCTGCCGATGGGCAGGTAACGAACGAAAGCGCTTCACTTCCGCAACCAGATTGCGACGGAGCGTCACTCAAACTCCCAGAAAAGAACAATATGAAGGGCCGCAAGCAGAACACGCATCCGCCCAGAACACCCACAGTCGGCAGCGAGCAAGAAAAAACTAGATTCCGCATTCAACTGAAGCACGGACGGTGCAGCAGTCCAAGATCCTATCTACACGTTCGCTGCACGCTCCAGCCGCCAGAGCTCTGTGGCTTCATTCATCTGTCTGATCTGTCAGAAGATGTAGATCTAAGCGTAGATTATGTACATGACTGTACAACATGACATCAGATTCTACTGCCTGCTCCACACTACAAAAGTACAGTGCTACTCGTGTACATCCATATGTAGGTCTACCAATACCATGAGTACGAGTAGGTCTAAAATCATTGCGGGCCGATCTTTCCGCTGATACCACGCCAACTCCGAAATGAAGCCGACTGTCGACTGTGTCGCCAGAGGCGCACTAGCTGTTCAAGTGTCATCACATGCAACAGTGAGCGATGTCGCCTAGCCTGTACAGTGTCTACTATGATTATGTAGACGCTACGCTTGTCTGTTCACACACATACACGTCACGTGGTATAGGGCTAGATCGTAGTAGAAGCAAGGCAGGGCAGACTGGGAAATGAGATCCTTTTTTTCGGGCAGTAGCTACAGCCAAGGCAAAGGCAAAGACGTAAAAAGGCTGGCGGCATCCACAGCAGCACTCTGCATAACATACCATCATCATGCATGTACTAGTATTATTGAAGTCATTCATACTGAGCCCGAGTCACGTTTTTATTATTTTTATTTCGTCCAGTCGGCTACTACATGTATCATAATCGTCTTGGGGGTTAGACAATGGCAAGTAGCCATGTAGAGGCGTGAGCCCGCCTTTCGGCACCGGAAGAGGACCCTAACCTGATCTGGTGAGCTGCGTCGCGTTTTGATCATGCAGACTGAGGCTACTCATTTTCACAGTTCGGCCTCCACTAAGGCCGCGGTCACACATGAAAAGTTTGCACCGCTTTTGTGGAAGCAAAAAGCGTAACTACCGCAGCCGCTTTGGCGGACCACACGATGCAGCGGTCACACATACATAATTATAGACTACTGAGTACTGTGCTCCTCAACAAAATGCAAATGCAGCACGTCCTACGAAATTTTAGATGTTATAGTCCTAGTTGAAGCGACCTTCGCTTGTACAAGTAGAGCTATCATGGATCGCTGACAGGCTGCTGAGTGTCTCCTGTCAAGTACACTCGTGGATTTGGGGCACATCCACTGGCGGCCCAGTACTGGTGTACATGTATTTGAATAATAGTTTAGTTTACATCAAATTCAATATCAAAATTCATTCAAATAGTTTCAAATATTCTTTTCACCCTGGCCGACACTGTGTGTGACGTATAGGTGAAGATTCTTGCAATTATTTCCAGCAATGAGCAATGACAGGCTTGATTAGAGCAGTCAGACCCATAGGGCTTGAAAGTGATGACGTCAAAACGGCCAGGGAGTAGTAATTTGACATCAGATTTCTATTTTTGGATCCACTAAGGTGTGACTTTGCTATTGCCTAAGTATGTGGGTGCATAGCAACCTACTCATGTCGCATGAAGGTGTGACTTTTATTTCGCCACCAGTTGTAACCCCGCCCCCAGTAGCCAAATCAGTCAGTTTCACTGGCTACATCACCATGCTGTGGGTAAGACGGCTTGAAATGTGCTTGGATCCATACAAAAACTGGATCCAAGTGGATCCAGTTTTTGAATTTTTGAAATTGTTGCTATGCTGTGACGTGCACTTTCAAGCCTTGACGGAGTGTACTAATAGTATTATGACTAATCCTCCCGCTAAAGTCATGACGTCACTAGAACACGATTACTACTGCATGCACCTTCCTGCACTCTACGACAGCCAAACAACACATGTACAGGACATGGACATGGGACGACTGTACATGTATTGTGATGAATATTGAATTCCTAGATCACACAACTACTGTTCATGATACCGACTGACTGGCTGAACATGCTGCACAACTCTCAAGTCCACATCTACAGTTCATGATACCCGGGTATTCACACTGACTGACCTGCTGAGAGTTTGCCAGTCTTGTGCATAGTGTAGACTGGGACCACTACAAGTAAACAGTTGACCATCATGCTGATAACACGAAACCATAATTATTATTATTATTATTATAGACAACACCTCATGGCATGAGAAGAAAATCAGCCAGTACGGGAGATGTGGGTGTTAACCAACCATGGTGAATAAAAGAAGAAAAGTAATGGTCAAGACGGAGAAGCATGGGAGGGACAGGTGATGGTGAATCTAGTGAGCAGATTTAAATGCGTCCAGGGTACTGGCATTGCGCGTAGTAGCGGGCAGCGCAAGCCAAGCAGAGTAAGCAACAAAGAGTGGAGAGCGTACAAGGGAGGACGTTTTAGCCAAGGGGAGGGCAACAGAGCATCTTGTCTGGGAGCCATCTGTGATTCGGAACCAGTTATACACGTTAAGATGAGGAGGATGTAGAGCTAGTTTAAATTTGTGAGCAAAAGTGCAAATTAATTTTTGACGGTGGGTCGACAGTGGGCAAGCATTTGCAAGGACATACAGGGAAGCAGAAGGGTAGACAGGGGGGTAGACTAAACAGGATACGAAGAAGTTTTCTATGGTGGATTTCGAGATGCTCAGCGAGAACCGAGGACAAGCCACACCAGCTAACAGCAGCGTACATGAAAAGAGGCAGGATGTACAGTTTGTAAAACAAAATTTTACATTTGAAAGGAAGATGGAAACAATGGGGACGTATAACACCTAGGGCAGAGCTTGAACGGCTGCAAAGAGCATCAATATGGAAAGACCAAGAGAGACGATCATCAAGCATTATTCCCAGGTGTTTATGGTTGGAAACAACCGTTATGGGTTCTGGGAAATCAGGATGGTGTAAAAGTGACATGGATGAGATTGGGGGAAGGAACATTATTTCGGTTTTAGTCAGGTTGGGTCTAAGTCGCCATGTTTGCATCCAGCGTAGGTCACTGCATATCTGAGCCGACACTCGAGGTACAAGAGCCGCTGAGGACGAGGATGCTGACAGTAGGGTTGTATCATCAGCAAATAACGAGACACCTGGGTCTATAGAGGGTAAATCATTTACGTATGCTACGAACAAAAGAGGTCCAAGTATGGAGCCTTGGGGAACTCCAGAAGACACTGGTAGAGGATCAGAGTTGATGGAGAGGGCAGAAACAAACTGTGATCGGCTACTCAGATAGGACTCCAGCCAGGACAGAGCAGGGCCAGACACACCAAAGACAATATGTAGCTTGGCAAGGAGGCCACGATGCCAGACAGTATCAAAGGCCTTTGCCAAGTCAAAGAAACAGAGAGCAATATGGTGTCGAGCATCACGAAGGGTGGCAATGTCTTGTACTAGACGAGCTAGTTGGTCAGAGGTTGAGTCGTTGCGCCGAAAGCCAGATTGGGAAGGGCTAAGGCATGGTGAAATGTGGCAATACAACTGGTCGTAAAATACCTTTTCACATACTTTTGAAAGGGAGCAGAGAAGAGATATTGGACGATAGTTTGAGGCTTGGGATCGGGAGCCTTTACACTTGTAGATGGGCGTGACCTTAGCGATCTTCCAACGATCAGGAAATACGCCGGAGGAGTAGGAAAGGTTGAATATAAGGCACAGTGGGTACGCCAGAGATGGAGCCAGAACTTTGAGAACTTCATTTGGTAGGGCATCAGGACCAGGGCTTTTGTAGCTTTTTAGTCTTTTTAGGTAGCTGCGAACAGATGATGTGGTGGTATGTATAGAGCGCAGATCAGAAGACACAGTCGCAGAACGTTGCAGAGGTGGTATTGGAGAGGAATGGTCGTCTGGAATACCAGCTGATGTGAATTGCGTATTGAGAGTATTAGCTATAGACTTGGGGTCAGTCACCATCGAACCATTGGAAGCTAATAACGGTGGTATGTCTTGACGTGTACTAGTTGTCCTTTGAGTGCGAACAAAGGTATACAGGTTAGGCCTGGAAGAGGGGTGAGATAGGGTGGTAGTGAGCGAACGTAAATATGCTCGATACTTAGAACGTGACAATGACTTCACCAGATTGCGCTGTTTTTTGTATAAAGAAATATTAGCATAGGTGGAGTACTTCTTACTTAAGCTATAGTAGTCGTATTTGAGTTTAATTGCACCTTGGAGATCTTTGTCGAGCCAAGGGATCTTGGGGTTACGGCTGGACTGACGAGGGTGGTGGCTGCCATGTTTGGGTGTAGCGGGTCTTGCTCCGTATTGTGGCACATAGAAGGAGAGCACGTCATCAAGAACTGTGGTGAACTTCTCCACAGCTTCATCAACAATAGTGGAGGTGAATAAAAGATGCCAGTCACAGGCAAAAAGTGCAGAGTTGATGATTGACCAAGTGGAAGGTGTAACCTGGCGGAAGGCATGTCGCGGAGGGGTAGGAGTCTGAGAGCAGTTGTAAGAGGTGTCAGCAGTGGCAATGTTGTAGGCTAGCGTTGTAATGACTTGCAAATGATCCGATGCAGCAAGCGGGGCAGCATCGTCAACAGAGCGTACAGAGAGGGGGCGGTTCGTAGCAAGCAAGTCCAGACAGGACAGTCTTCCATTCGGAGCGACACGGGTGGGGAAATTGACAAGCTGCTGGAGGCCAAAGCTAGAGAACACGTGTGATAGCTCCGTACCAGCACGCGATGTGGTGTCACCACTCCACCAGTCAGAATTGTGGGCATTGTAGTCACCGGTAAGAAAAACATCAAATAAAGAGAGGTCCAAGGAACACAGCGTGTCGGTAAGTATGTCGCAAAAGGAGGTGATATCAAGAAGGGATTGTGAAGGGGGGCGGTAATGACAGCAAATGAGTAGCGGATTGGCCCGGAGACCTGCCGGTGCACCAAGCTCAATCCATAAGGCCTCGCTTTGGGGAGAATCAAGGTCATGGCGACGGGTGCAATGTGGAAATGTCCCATCACGTATGAGAATGGCCACGCCACCATATCCACGTAGGTTTGATCTCAGGTTCTTATGTGTAGATCTGTCTTTACGGAAGCATGTGTAGCCTGGAACACTGAATGAAAGTGACGGGCTTAGCCAGGTTTCTGTTAAACAT